TTCCAAAAAAATAATAAAAATAAAAAATTTAATTTCAGTATAGTTAATATACAGTGTTGTATTAGTTTCAGGTGTGTAATACAGTGATTCAACAATTCTATACATTGCTCAGTGCTCATCACGGTAAATGTACTTTTTTTCTTTAAGTAGGCTCCAGGCCCAGCATGGGGTTTGAATTCACAAGACCAAGAGTCTCATGGTCTACAAATGAGCCAGCCAGGTGCCCATGATAACTGTACTTTTAATCCTCTTCATCTATTTCACCCATCAACCCATCCACCTCTCCTCTGGTAACCACTAGTTTGTTCTCTATAGTTAAGAGTCTGTGTTTTGGTTTGTCCTTCTCTTTGTTCAATTGTTTTGCTTCTTAAATTGAGTGGACCTCCTTCTTTGAAGTGGTTAAGTGAAGAATGTTTTTGGACATGTATATAATTAGCATTATCAAGGTTAATGGGATGTGATGATGAGTTAATTGTCTTAAGAGTACAAGGTCAAGGGGAGCCTGGGTGGCTCAGTTGGTTAAGCGACTGCCTTCGGCTCAGGTCATGATCCCAGAGTCCCTGGATCGAGTCCCGCATTGGGCTCCCTGCTCAGCGGGGAGCCTGCTTCTCCCTCTGACCCTCCCCCCTCTCATGCTCTATCTCATTCTCTCTCTCAAATAAATAAATAAAATCTTTAAAAAAAAAAAAAAAAGAGTACAAGGTCAAGGGTGCCTGGGCGGCTCAGTTAATCATCTGACTTCAGCTCAGGTCATGATCTCTGGGTCCTGGGATGAAGCCCCTCGTCGGATTGCCCACTCAGCAGAGTCAGCTTCTCCCACTCCTCCTCCCTCTGCCCCTCCTCCTCACTTGTGGTCATGCTCTAATAAATAAAATCTTTAAAAACAAACAAACAGGGCGCCTGGGTGGCTCAGTCGGTTAAGCGACTGCCTTCGGCTCGGGTCATGATCCTGGAGTCCTGGGATCGAGTCCCGCATCGGGCTCCATGCTCGGCAGGGAGTCTGCTTCTCCCTCTGACCCTCCTCCCTCTCATTCTCTCTGTCTCAAATAAATAAATAAAATCTTTAAAAAAAACAAAAAAAACAAAAAAACAGTACAAGGTTATACTCCTCTTATTGAGAAATAATTTCAACACATTTATTTTTCTGCCCTGACCTCAAAAAAGCACCCTGAAATTACCAAATAACAATTCAACTAAAACCATCTTCTAATAGTTTTTTGTTGTTTTCCTCCCCAGATCCACCAGAGGGACTCTTCTCCCACTTACACATTTGAACGAATACCTACCTACCTTACTCCTCTACCCCACTGAAAGATAGGTACTCTGGTAATCTGGCTAAATCTTTCACACAAATAACTACGACATTAATTCATCATAAATCCATGGAGCTAACTCACAAGAAGTTATCTTAATCTTATTTTAAACAGCAAAATACTGGGGGCTCCTGGGTGGCTCAGTCATTAAGCGTCTGCCTTCGGCTCAGGTCATGATCCCAGGGTCCTGGGACTGAGCCCTGTGTTGGGCTCCCTGCTCAGCGGGAAGCCTGCTTCTCTCTTCCACTCCCCCTGCTTGTGTTCCCTCTCTCACGGTCCGTCAAATAAATAAAATCTTAAAAAAGAAAAAAAAAACAACAGCAAAATACTAAGCACTAACGTAACACCTACACCAACAAAGAGGAAACAAACCACTTGTGGAAATAGAAAGGACAAACCCAGAACTTTAAGATTACTGAGCTAAACCACTTATTTTGACATCTCTTTCTCAAGCAACAAATAAGCAGCGCAGGAATTAGACAACAGCTAAGCCAAAATCCAGTGCATTACATAAGACTCCTTTCTGAGCTTTCTTTCCTCCTTACACACTGCTATATTCTTTATCTTTTCTAACATAAACAAAAAGATTAAGAACTAGTTAGAAAGGTAGTAAGGACAAAGACTGATTTAGCACTTAGTCACTCCTTTAGCACCTTTAGCAACGTTGTTTAAATGGCACGAGGCTTCGAAGAGAGGCCAAAATGAAGCTTTTTACAGCTAACAAAATTGTGGTCCAACATCCCTCTACGTAAGCAATGAAGTTGGTATCAAAATCAACTCTGAACTGAAGTTTATTTCTCATTCCATTTTTTCTCCCTACTGGTTTTTAAAGTTATACACATTTTTATTCTTTCAGTGGTTATACTAGAATTATAAAATGCATCATATGAAAATCTAAACAAGTCATTATTATTTTTTTTTTTAGATTTTATTTATTGGGGCGCCTGGGTGTCTCAGTCGTTAAGCGTCTGCCTTCGGCTCAGGTCATGATCCCAGTGTCCTGGGATTGAGCCCCACACCGGGTTCCCTGCTCAACAGGAGGCCTGTTTCTCCCTCTCCCACTACCCCTACTTGTGTTCCATCTCTGGCTGTCTCTCTGTCAAATAAATAAATATTTATTTGTTTATTTGAGAGAGAGAGCATGAGTGGTGGGGGAAGGGAAGCGGGAGGAGAGGCAGACTCCCTACTGAGCAGGGAGCCCGATGCAGGACCCCATCCCATCCCAGAGTCCTGGGATCATGAACTGAGCCCAAGGCAGACACTTAACCGAGTGAGCCACCCAGGCGCCCCTAAACAAGTCATCTTCTTTACCCTCCCCCTTAAACACCTTAGACACTTTACCTCTGAAGACCCCACTTATTTAACTGAGAAATGCCATCTTTACTGTTCCCTCAGACTAGCTAATTAGGTTTTCATGTAATTTACTCCCAAAGTAAGCTTTTTCATGGGTAATGAAAGTATAAAAATGAAATACTGGGGTTTAACCCAGACTGTGCCATTTATGAATATGGAAATTATTTCACCACTCTAATCTTGATTTTCCTTACCTGTAAAAGGAGGATAACTACTTCATAGCAAACTCATGTGGGTCAAGTAAAAACATTCAAAAAAGCACTTAATACAATTGGTCAGTTTTAGTTTGCGACTCATGGTAGGAGGAACTTATGGTTTATTTTCCTTTCTGGAGGCACATGAGTTCTTTCTCAGTGCATGACCTGCCAGGAAGCTGGAGACTAGTTCACCACTACCTTAACTTTAGCTATACACAGATAACATCTGGAAATCTGCAATCCGTATTCCTTGATAATTTTATCGCAAAACCAAACCAAACCCGGGGCGCCTGCGTGGCTCAGTCATTAAGCGTCTGCTTTCGGCTCCGGTCGTGGTCCTAGTGGGATCGAGCCCCACATCGGGCTCCCTGCTCGGCGGGAAGCCTGCTTCTCCCTCTCCCACTCCGTCTGTCAAATAAAATCTTAAAAGGAAAAAAACAAACAAAACCAAACCCTTAATACTTTTATTAAGGGTTGAGAGGGCAAGGATCCCTCTAAGTGGAATGATTGCTAGAGTCGTCTAGCGCACCATAAAATGGTCTCCTGAGCCTCAGTCTCAAGTAAGGAGCTCCTTAAAAAAAAGACACCACACGACTCACAAAGCTCAAGCTTTTCTGTCCTATCAATGAATGATGAAGCTGAAAACAGAGCTTGAAACTAAAATCGTATTTTCTTTTTTTTCTTTAAAGATTTTATTTATTTGAGAACGAGATAGAGCATGAGAGGGGGGAGGGTCAGAGGGAGAAGCAGACTCCCCGCCCAGCAGGGAGCCTGATGCGGGACTTGACCTGAGCCGAAGGCAGTCGCTTAACCAACTGAGCCACCCAGGCGCCCTAAAATCGTATTTTCTAAGCGCTCCCACGTGATCCGGAGGGTGGTTTGTGAACCACTGCTCAACGTGAGCCCAACAGGGAAACGAACCAAAAAGTGGTAGGTAGCACAGGTAGAGATAAGTAAACCTCCAGTAACTGTGAATGTATCAACACCATCACAGTGTAAGTCTATAAACCAATCATAAAACGTCACAGCAACCTTTTTCTTTATAGTGGAGGAAACTAACTTCTAAAGTGCAGAAGGGAAAAAATAAAACCAGGCCCCTAAAAAACAAGGGAAGATTGGGAAGTCAGACCCACTAGATGAAAACAGCACTTGCTTCCTCGAATTAACTGTTTCCTTTCACCGTTCAAGAAATACCTTACGTCTGACAAACATTGTGGCGCTTTCAAAGCAATCGTTTCTACCCAGTCCTCCTAATACATTTCGCGCCTACTACCGCCCATTCGCCTAGCAAACAAACACTGCTGGAAGGGGAGTTCCACGCAGCGCTGGGTGAAGATACTTTGCGTCCCGATTAAAATCCCTCCGAAGCAGCCAAGTCTCTAGCCAGCACTCCCGAAGCCTAAAGAGTCACTATGCTCTCCACCACAGGCCTAAAAACGAGGACAGCTGAGAGCAGGAGGGCAGGAGATGAGCGAGGAGACCGTGGGAAACAAGCTTCACCACGCCACACCGCGGAAGTTGGAGAATCTCCGCGAGCCGCACAGCCCCAAACAATGGAGTTTTCCCGCCTCCTCAGGACCCCGCCCCCTGCTCCAGAGCCGGCGGGGGAAAGCGAACGCTCGCGCACGTGGCCCCGCCCCCTGAAAGCCCCGCCCCCTCCCGAGCCCACCGGGCCAGCCTCCCTCCTCGTGCAAGGGTGTTTTTTTTTTGGCGCCAAATCTCTGTTAGTTATTTTCCCGGGTTGCTTGGGGACACTACTGGAGGCGCGAGCCAGGAGTGCGGGGACAGTACGGGCATAAACACAAACGGGAGCCCTGTGGCCCCGCCTCCTCGCCGATAGCCCCTGGCCGGGGGAGGAAGAAGAGGGGCAGACGATGGAGCAGCCGTCGCTGCCCCCGGCAAGATGGCGGCCGCGAAAAGCGGGGCAGGGGGCGGCAGCCGAATAGTGTTACTGCTAATGCGCGAGGTTCTCTGCAAAAGGTGGGTTCCTACAGTCCCGGCCTCCCCGAACTGCGACGGCTGCTCAGTAGGAGGCAAGCCCTTCCTCTCACGGGTCTGTCCCTCCCGGGGAGCCCCCGGCCACCACCCCCTCCCCGTGGACTGGACAGTGCCTCAAGCTCTCCACGGTCCCGCTTACTTGTCGGCGGAAACCAGCTCCGCAGCGATGGCGGCAGTGGCTGTGGACTCTGCGGCCATCGTTCCCCTGAGGTGGTGGACCAGCGGGCGGAATAGAGTCTGTGAGGAAAACAGGAAATTTGGGACGCCAGAGACCTATTCAGGGACAGAAAATGGCAGATTGGAGACCCCGCGCGGCTAGGTCCCTTTATATACCAGAGCCCTTTGCCCCGCCCATCCACTTCCGGGTCCTCCCCCTCGAGTTTAAAGGGCCAGGACTCTGCCCCAGTCCCTCCCAAGGACACCCCCGCACTCCCCGTCTTGCTCTGTGGGGTACCTTCCCTCTCTGGCCCAGTTTCCCCCAGAAAAGCAACTTCCTGCTTCTCTAGCAAGTCGCGTAAGAACTGGAGTCTTGGTACTACAACTCTTGACTGGGCGTCGACCAGCGGCTTCCACATAAGGGGAAGCTGGCGCTTCTCTGCATGTTTGGAGAGTGTAGCCGAGGGTCTCTTTCCGGTCCTGATACTCAGTGAGGTGACCGAAACTTTCTGCCTGTCCTCTCAGTCCTAACGGGTGGACACGTAAGAACCGGGCACGGGTACAGCGGCAACGGTTAGAACTGATTTCGGTGAGAGACTCGTGGCTCTAAGCCTCAGCAACAATTGACGCAAGAAAATGCTATCCTAGGATTGGCTACCGCTGAAACTACCGCGCTTGATTCAAAGTCAGTATTGCGGCGGGACGCAGCTGGCTCCTCCCTCTGGGCCCACCCTCTTCAGCTGGCCCAATCCGCTGACGCCATCCTCTTAGGCCCTACCCAGACTCCAAATCTGGCTAGTTTAGTGCCCCCGGCTCTTTTCCTCCGCTCAGAGCTACCGTTTGTCGTTTGCCCAGTGCGTGCCAGAGTACTGTGCTTAGACACTTTAAAGTTGTTGGCGGTTTTATTTAACCTTAACGCTATTGGTGAGATCGGGATTATCAGCCCCATTTGGTAGAAATAGAAACCAAGATTTAGAGAAGGTGTGACTTGTTCAGAAAGCTGCAAGACAAGTCGGCTACGGAAAGCAGTGTGCCTCATTTCCTACTACCCGCAGAGTGGAAGATAACTGGCAGGCTGCAATGGTTGCACTTTCTCCATGGCCTTCCCTACAGTGATCAGAACAGGGGTTTTATTTCTGTCCAGGTTTTGACACCCTGGGAAATATTCCTGCAAAGGATTCTTCCTCCAGTCTGTAAAGGGTCAGACACGTTGAAATCTGGGGGGCGTAGAGCTGGACCTGGAAATACCAATACCTGTGGTAAACAGACGTGGGATCCCCGTTATTAGCTGCGTGACCTGAGCCAAATCATGTAATCTTTTAAGATTAATGTAAAATGAGGACAATATTAGTATTCACCCGTTAAGGATATTGTGAGAATTAGAGGAAATGCTTGTTTCAACAATCAACACTATACCTGGCTCATGTTAAGCAGTCATTAAATGGCTACCACTGTCTGATAACATGGTGGCTGGAGGGTTGGTTTGAGGAGGGGGAGATCTCTTCAGAGTCCTTGCAGCCATGGCTAGGGCCTGAGAAATCCAGTCTAGTACCTAGTGTGACCCACTCATCTGTTAAACTAATATTCACAGAGCCACTATGATGTGCAAGCCGTTGTACTAGGGCCTAACGACAGAACAGATGCTCTCTTTGAGGAACTCGGCTGTATGAAAAATAGATTTTAAAATAGATATTAGCGGTGCCTCAGTGGTTGGGCATCTGCCTTCGGCTGGGGTAGTGATCCTGGGGTCCTGGGATGGAGCCTGGCAGAGGGCTTCCTGCTCAGTGGGGAGCCTGCTTCTCCCTCTCCTGTTCCCCCCTGCTTGTGCTCTTGCTCTCTGCTCGCTCTCTCTCTCAAATAAATAAATAAAATCTTAAAGTAAAATAGATATTAAGGAGTGCCTGGGTGGCTCAGTTGGATTAGCTTCCTGACTCTTGATTTTTGGCTCAGGTCATGATCTCAGGGGTGTCAGAGCTCGGTGTGGGGCTCTGCAATCAGTGTGGAGTCAGCTTGGGAATCTCCGCACTTTCCCTCTACCCCTCCCATCAAATAAATAAATAAAAATCTAAAAAAAAAATTTTCTCTCTCCTCCCGCTGCCTCTCCCCACCCCACTCTCTAAAAAAAAAAAAGAAGGAATTTTGAGCTCCTTATCATTGCCTGCAAGGTCCTCCATGATCTAGCTCCAATCCACCTCTCCAAATTCATCTCATACTGCTCCCCTCACTTTACCATCCTACTGTGTTGATCTTTCTGTTCCTCAGAATGCCCAAGCCCTTTCTCATATCCAGAGGCCTTTGCACTTGCTACCTTACTGCCTAGAAAGCTCTTCTCCCAATAGTTTGAAATGATTAGCTCTTATTCATCTTTTAGGCCTCATCTTAAATGTTACTTACCCCAAAGGGCCTTCCCAGTCCACTCAGTCAAAATTAGCTTCCTTTTTTTATTTCTTCCATTGTGCTCATCAAAATCTGAAGTTATTTACTTGGGGTTTTTGGGGTTTTTTTACCTGTCACCCAGTTCTAAGTATAGGTTCCATGTGATTTTATCTGTTTTGTTTACAGCTAAATCCCCAATGCATACAATAGTGGCTGACCATTACTAGGTGTCCAAAGTGAATTTTTGGATGAATGAATGAATGAAGCATTCATAGTATAATCATAATTAGAACTGGAAGAAATTTCATTCTGAATATATCTACTTAAAATAAGAACCAATATTTCATAGTAAGTAATGAAGGTAATGGGACTTTTGGGGGGGCAGGAATCTTACATTTAACAGACTGGGGGGGACATCCAGTTAAAGATGGTGGGTTGAACACATACATTTACATCCATTCCCTTTTGAAGCCTATCTAAATAACAATAAAGGAAATTCTTTTATTTGTTGTTTGTTTTGTTGTTCTTTTTAAGGTAAGACAAGATCAAAGAGAATGGGAGAGGAAGCAACAGCAATAAAATCTTAAAAGCTGGAAAATGAATGGACAAGTAGTAATTGACCTAGCAGACTAAGAAAGGAGAGTCCCAATGGGGAAAGCCAAGAAGCAACCAGACTGACAATAGAGAAATCATGAACTATCAGGAATTAGTTGCAGCAGTTACCTCTAGGAATAAAGGATGAAGATAAGGCTGAAAAAAGTGGGTTATGTTGAAAAATTTTAAGAAGCAGACAGTATAAAGCTACTCCCCCAAAGCAATAGAAGTCTATTTTCTGGACAGGATAAAACAAAAAAGGATGTTGAACTGAGTGAAAGTTGAGAGTAGAAGGATATTGAAAAGAAAGGGATTAAATGATTACATACAAAATGTTGAGACCTTGTGACAGTTGTCTCTCCATATGCATTTTTCCCTTTTTCTATAGTAATAACAGAACCTGATTTTTTTTTTTTAATTTATTCATTTGAGACACAGAGATACAGAGAGAGAGCACGAGCAGGGGGAGAGGCAGAGGGAGAGGGAAAGCAGGCTTTCCCCGATGAGCCAGGAGTCGACGTGGGGCTTAATCCCAGGACCCTGGGATCATGACCTGAGCCAAAGGCAGACACTTAACCATCTGAGCCACCCAGGTGCCCCAGAACACTGATTTTAATTATTTTAGTGCAAAGCCACGAGAATAAAACTAAAATCATCACTGTCCCATGGAGGTAGTGTTCAAATGATGACGTTTTGGTCAATGGTAAGTGAACAGAAGCAATGTGTGCAACTTCCAGATAGACACATTAAAGGAAAGGGGCTTGTCTTTCACAAGACTTGGTGGTGAGTCTTCTTGGACTATGTCAATCAGGGCAGTGTCCCAGGAATGACAAAGCAGTAACAGAGAAGCCTACGTTCCTAGCATCATGGAGCCACCATACCACCTCCAAGCTGCCTATTTTCAAAATGTTATATAAGACAGAAATAAACTTCTTAGGTATATTATCACATATCAAGCAACTACTAGAATTGCAAAATAAAGGGCGCCTGGGTGGCTCAGTTGGTTAAGCGACTGCCTTCGGCTCAGGTCATGATCCCGGAGTCCTGGGATCAAGTCCCACATCGGGCTCCCGGCTCAGCAGGGAGCCTGCTTCTCCCTCTGACCCTATCCCCTCTCATGCTGTTTCTCTCTCTCTCTCTCAAATAAATAAATAAATAAAATCTTAAAAAAAAAAAGAATTGCAAAATAAATAGAAATAAATCAATAATTGTAGTTGAGGGGCACCTGGGTGGCTCAGTTGTTAAGTGTCTGCCTTCAGCTCAGCTCATGGTCCCAGGGTCCTAGGATCGAGCCCCACATCGGGCTCCCTGCTCAGCGGGAAGCCTGCTTCTCCCTCTCCCATTCCCCCTGCTTGTGTTCCCTCTCTCACTGTGTCTCTCTCTGTCAAATAAATAAATAAAATCTTGGTGGTGCCTGGGTGGCTCAGTCGTTAAGCATCTGCCTTCAGTTCAGGTCATGATCCCAGGGTCCTGGGATAGAGCCCCGCATCAGGCTCCCTGCTCTGCGGGGAGCCTGCTTCTCCCTCTCCCACTCCCCCTGCTTGTGTTCTCTCTCTCGCTGTGTATCTCTCTCTGTCAAATAAATAAAAAACAAACAAAATCTTTAAATAAATAAATAAAATCTTTTTAAAAATAATAATTGTAGTTGAGGGGCACCTGAGTGGCTCACTTGGTTAAGCGTCTGCCTTCCGCTCAGGTCATGATCTCAGGGTCCTGGGATCAAACCCCAAGTCAGGCTCCCTGCTCAGCCGGGAGTCTGCTTTTCGCTCTCCCTATGCCCCTCCTCACCCCACCTGTGCTCATGCTCTCTCTCTTTCTCTCTCAAATAAATAAATTAAATCTTTGAAAAAAAATAAATAAAAAATTGTGTTGAAATTTAATTTTTTTTAAAGATTTTATTTTATTTATTTGAGAGAGCGTGAGAGAGAGAGCACAAGATGGGGTAGGTTCAGAAGGAGAAGCAGACTCCCCGCTGAGCGGGGAGCCCGATGCGATGCCAGACTCGATCCCAGGACCCCAGGATCATGACCTGAGCCTAAGGCAGTCGCTTAACCAACACAGCCACCCAGGCACCCTGTGTTGAAATTTTAAATGCATGTCACTCAGAAATCATTACAGGCACATAAAAAAGAAGCAGAAATGTTGAAAACATGACTAATACTATTAATAT